TGTGTGTGTATGTGTGTGTGTGTGTGTGTGTGTAGTGTGTGTGTGTGTGTGTGTGTGTGTGTGTGTGTGTGTGTGTGTGATTGCATGTCTTAATATGATTCATTGTCTAATAATTTGTTTGGTTTTGTTTCCATATAAAAATTATTGGTAGATATACAACGATGTCTTCTCTTTACTCTTTTGTATTACCATATATTTGTATTTAATCATTGAGATTGTTTGTTTTGCATAATTAATTATATAAGCATAGGTGTGTGTCTGTGTGTTTGATTGCGCGCGTGTGTGTGTGTTTATGTATGTGTGTGTATGTGTGAGAGAGAGAAATAAGTAAGTTTATGTGTTTTGTGTGTGTGCGTGTGCGTGTGTGTGCGTGTGTGTGTGTGTGTGTGTTTGGTGACAATTATGGAGGAGTGTTTAAAAAGTGAATAATGATGATGATGATGATGATGATGATGATGATGATGATGATGATGATGATGATGGCGAAGACGAATGTAGCAATTACGAAGTTTGTTTGATAAATGAGAAATGGGAGTGTTTATATTATTTCTAGAACGTTGAACCACCATATCATTTTGTTATCATTATATCAGCTTTTTTATATTAAGCATTATAAGCGCGTCAGTCTCAATTGCTTCTAATAGAAGTGGTGATGCCGATGATGAAGATGACAATGATGAAGAAGATGATGAAGATGATGATGAAGAAGATGATGAAGATGATGATGAAGATGATGATGATGACGATGATGAAAACGTTGATGATGACGAAGAAAATGATGACAATGATGATGAGGAGGAAATGAAGGTGATGATGATGGTGACGAGGTTGATGATGACGATGGCTGTTGAGTCGATTTTGATTTTCTTATTGTTAGCATCATTTATATATGTATCTTCATTTGTTCAATTGTTTTTTTACGCAATTATCTTCAGTTTTGTAGTTACCGGTTATTTGTTCATTTATTTATTCGTTCATTCATTCGTTTGTTCGTTCGTTCGTTCGTTCATTCGTTCGTTTATTTATTTGTTCATTTATTTATTTCTGTTTCTCTATCTTTTTGTTTCCTTCCTCTTCTACTTAGATGATGATGAA